CACTGCCTGTCTTTTCGTCATCATGAAGTTGTTCTTCTTCATGCATCAAACTGTCCCGATGAATGAAGCAAGCAATTAAAATATAAGAAACCAATAAGTTCTGAAGTTAATGTGAACCTACATTTTAGTTCCAGCGGCAGCAGATCCAGCACAATCATATGTAAAATCAATGATCCGTAGCAAAGAATTATACATGCAAAGTATACCTCTGAATTGCATAGTTAAGGTTACTTGATTGTGCATTTGATTGAAATGGTAAATTGTCTTGCTTGCTAAATTTTTTTTATGTGTATTGTATTAGCCTCTTGAACCAGAGAAAATGACCAATATTATTCTTCAAGCTCTGGAAATAAGATAATCAGTGAGATTTGTATAAAATCAGTTATTGACGACCACATTAACGATAATACAAAATTTGAGCAAATTGCCTCTCAGATTTGTAACATCAGTTCGGCTACTCCGATTATAATACAAAAAACTATCACATTCGTTTGTCTGAGACAATAAAATTAAGTTTATAAAGAGAAGAGAAAGGGGTAAAGGATATATGGCCAACAGACAAAAGCAGAAAAACAAAACGAATATACTGTGAAGATTTTCTATTTATAGAGTATAGCCGATCGGCTATACGGTGAACATATTCTATTTAACGGGTATAGCCGACTGGCTGTACTGCGAAAAGTTTCAATTTATAGCGTATGGCCGATATTATATTTATAGCGTATAGCCGTGCGGCTATATGGTTATATTATTCTATTTATAGAGTATAGCCGTGCGGCTATACTATAATAATATTCTGTTTAACGAGTATAGTCGCCCGCTATACTGTTAAATATTATATTTAAAGCCTATAGCCGACCGGCTATACTGTTAAAATATTCTATTTAAAAAAGTGTAGGTTATAGCCGTGCGGCTATACAAAATAAAGGAAACACAACTTAATAATCTACGTGCGGTTTAATTTAATGTCTTTGTGCTTATAAATTTCACATGCCTATATTGCAAAGATTACAGAATTTCATAAGAGAATTTCCATGCCTCAGCTGCAGTAGATAAAAGAAAAGGAAATTACCTCAAGCACGAAAGTGGTTACCACGACAGTACAGACATTGCCATCGACATTGACTCTATTACGCCTAACTTTCTCCAGTAAATGCTGCATACACTCCCAGGATGGACCAGATCACCTTCTGGAGTACCCCAGAAAGCGAATGCCTCCTCCACTTGCTGTAAAAAGAAGAAGATTAGAACTTTGGGCAAATATAGACTAGAAGCAAATACATAATGTAGATTATTGAGGGAAACTCGTAACAGAAGCTTCTTGAGTTCATAATATCATTGAGGAACTGCATTTTGTCTACAACCATAACACACACAGTGATGAATAAACGAAAAAAGGAGTGAATACTACACACACACACACATACATACATACATATATATATATATATCACATATTCAATTCTGCTTGACAAAATTCAGGCTTTGAGACAAGAAAGTATTACCAGGGGAAGTTGGATTGAAAAGCATTCTAATATAAAATTCTTTCTTTGCACAATCTTAGCATAAAGGAGGAATATATATTTAAATGGCAAATATCAAACTTGCAACTTATAAGGAACACCGAAACAAGACGAATGCCACGGATCTCCAGAACTGTTAAGGAAAAACTAACAAGGCAAAACCTTTTAATGTGAATTACTTGCCCATTTTTAGAGAGGAGATGGTGGAAGATAGAACAACAGAGAGAAAAATAATCAACCATGTAGGGATAAGATATTAGAAAGATAGTAGCTTTTTTTTTAAAAAAATTTCTGGATTTGCTATGTATTCAGACCACATTCAGGTATATCATCAACTGGCATAATTCACAAACTTTAAGACACAACAAGATACTTAAAAGATTTAGACACAAGTCAATCAAAATAGTCCAAAAGCATAAATGCATTGCAAGCAACATCAAAGGTGTATATATGTTACCAGGTCCAGGAGCATCTTCAAAAGTGCGTTAGTCACAATGTGAGCAAGAGCAGATTTAATCTGATCATCCCCTTCAAGATCATCGACACATTCCCCTTGTTCATAAGTTTCCACCAAAACAGGCACAAATGGCAGCTTCCCTTGCAAGATAAACTTGAGACATGATAAAAACTGCACTGCTGTACACTCTCATCCAATCTCCACCACTTTAAAGCAGGAATCAAGTTTGAAAGTTTTGCTACCAAATTGATTATAACAAAATCTCTCGTAATCGATTCACAAACACCAGGATGCCTAACCTTTACGGCAACTACTATGGGCTTCACCTGTTGACCAGCGCCATGCACTTGAGCAATACTTCCAGATGCCACTGGTTTCTCTTCACAATTACCAAAACTCTCTGGGAGCTTGCGGCCAAACGCTCGTTTGATAGTTTTCTTCGTGTAGGCAAAGCAGGAGCTTTGGCGATTGAATCATCAGAAGAAAACAAAATTAAAAAATTTCCGTCTAGGCAGCCTAGGCGGGTCTGGGCGTTCATTTTATTTTATTTTTTAGATTCTTATTTTCCAGGTTCAATTTTAATGCTTTTCTCAACCCTCAGTAAAGGTTAGATAATAAAAAATATTTCTTTAAATGATATTCCTAGTTGAACACATTCATTTTCTATTTGTTGGCAATTTCCGACATGACCCCCATACACGACTCAAAACCCCCTCGACTAAATTTTGTAGGGTGTAGAGTGTCCAAATCCCCTCTTCCCCGTATGTTTTTCTTTGCAATTCAGATCCTCTCCCCTTTGATCAACACGGAAAAAGGAAGTTGGGAAAACAGGCAATGCAAAATATTCAAGGATGTAAGATGAAAAGGCAAAATAATTAGCAGCAGTCACTGACATTTCCTGTGACGTGTCTTTTATCTGCTTCTTAGGAGGAGTAGTATATGCATAAGTAAAATGTTAGAATCTCTTGCATAATGATACATGGAATATTTTGATTTACTATAGTCTGCATACATATGTAGAATGGTAATTCTGGTCGAGCAACTACTTTCGCGTGGAGTAAAACCAAGCTCTGAACAGTTTCTGATTGATGGAAAGTGGCCTCTGATGTGTGATTATCAGGAAATCAAAACCTGATACATCACACGTGAACTGTTTCTGATCGCAGTATACACAACAGAACAGACACAATGCAAAGCCTATGGAGTATATAAGTGCCCGTAAGTACTAGACAAGGATTCTGTCAAGAGTTGCCTGCTTACCTTTGTTTTTATTTTCCAAGCCTGCTTACCTCTGTTTTTATTTTCCAAGCCTGCTTACCTTTGTTTTTATTTTCCAAGCCTGCTTACCTGTGTTTTTATTTTCCAAGCCTGCTTACCTTTGTTAGCTAACCAAAGGATAGAAACTCCCCCATCAACGTTATTGTTGCTAATTCAAGGGCGAACTCCCGGAGGGCGAACTACCGGCTAAGATCCGGTGGGTGAACTCGCAGCTTTTACGATGGAATCGATTCAGAGGTTTGTTTTAATGTTATTTTTTTAATTATTAAAGAATTGAATTTTTATTTTATTTTAATTGTTTTGTATTTCTAATTTGTTAGGGAACATTATGCTGATTTTTTGAAAGTTGGAAAGAATTATGGATCTGAGATTCGAGCTTCAAGGTTCCTTTCTTTTTCAATTGTACGAGAACTGTATGTTTCTTCACAGTTTAGATTATACAATTGTATGTTTAACCAGGATTGTACAATTGTATAAGCTAAACTGTAAAGAAACATACAATTGTATAAGCTAAACTGTGAAGAAACATACAGTTCTCGTACAATTGAAAAAGAAAAGAACCTTGAAGCTCGAATCTCAGATCCATAATTCTTTCCAACTTTCAAAAAATCAGCATAATATTCCATAACAAATTAGAAATACAAAACAATTAAAATAAAATAAAAATTCGATTCTTTAATAATTAAAAAAATAACATTAAAACAAACCTCTGAATCGATTTCATCGTAAAAGCTGCGGGTTCGCCCACCGGGATCTCAGCCGGGATCGGGATCTGTTGCAAGGGTTCACTCATTGCAATGGTTCACTCTCACTCGACAATCTCTCAAACTCTCTCTCTACAATCTCTCTACAATCCCTCAGTCTCTCACTCTACAATCTCTCAGACTCTTAATGGCCAAGGTTTAGGGTTTACAAATTAGTGGGCTAATTGTTGGCCCGTTTTCATGATATAGGGCCATCGGGTCATGTCAAATTGCGACATTCGGCCGATTGTTGGGCCGTTTTCACTCTACAACTTCTGGGCCCAAGTGGGCCCTTTATGCGACATTGGGCCGAATCAATGACAATAATACATTGGGCCGGAAACATAAATACAAACATGAAACAAAGAACAGATTTGAAAAAAATGAAATCGGGGAACAGATCTTTCCCCAAAAAGAAATCATCGGGAAAGATCTCAAAGAACATGAATCATCGGGAAAGACAGATATTTCCCTCAAAGACTTCATCTCTCGCTCATAAACTCTATATTTCCGATTATTCAAAAGATAACGAACATGAACTAAAGAGAATATAAGAAAATGAACATCAACTAAAAGAACATGAATCATCGGGAAAGATAGATCTCAAAGAACATGAATCATCGGAAAAAACAGATCTTTCCCTCATAAACTCTATATTTCCGATTATTTAAAAGATAACGAACATGAACTAAAGAGAGTAAAAGAAAATGAACATGAACTCAAGAGAGTATAAGAAAATGAACATGAACTAAAGAGAGAGAATGTCATGTTCGGAGGCAGATAGATGTGTGTTTATATATTATCAATTAGGGTTTGCTTAGAGTTACGAAACTACCCTTTGTCATTTACTATGCATCTGTTATCATCTTGACCGTCCAAAATTTATCTAGCGATAACGAATGTGCCACGTCATTTAATGCTAATGATCACGAGATGTTTGGGGCCATTGAATTCTCAATTTCGTTTCTTGGTAGCGCACTCATTGTTGATGCTCTTTTTTTCTTTTTCCTTTTTTGAGAGGCAGAGGTAGTCGCCACTCTCTGTTTGTGTTTCACTAACTGAGCTTCTTGAGAGGCAGAGGTAGTCGGCAGGCGATCTAACCACACAGAAAAATAAAGGAAAAAGATGAGTTGTGGTGTTTGGAGAAGGAGACGGGTGTCTGTAGGATCAATTCTGATAGTGTGTGCATTGTGTGCTGGAATGGGGCTGTTGATGCTCAACTTAAGACAAGTTGATCCTCCAACGAGCCCCGATTTCCCTATGCAAATTCACAATTTGGTTTCGGAGTCTGAAAGCGGGTGTAGGGTTGGGGGTAAGGACGAGCCTGAGAACAAGAGTAAGAGAAAATCCAACTCCTGTGCTACGGTGGAACACATGGGAAAGGACTTCAAAGGAGGGTTCTGGGAGGGAAGTCTCAGAGTCAGGAAACTTATTCAGCATCACTCTGACTTTAATGGTATTTTTCTACTCTCATTTTCTTCAGGCTGATTGTTAGTGTTACATGTAATATACATGCTACCTGATTCATGAAAGTCCCAAACATTGAAATTGGTCTTGTTCTTAATTTCTCAGCTTCTTGTAAGGTTTTACATTTGTGTGAGATACATTTGGTTATGTTCCCTGATTCTGCTTGAACAATTCTACTTGCACTTTCGTGCTTTGCCTGCCCATATTCTGACTCCATCCAGTGTATTTATTCCTCACAACTACTCCCAGTCAGGCCATCCATCTTTCACATTCTTGTTCCATATACAAGCTTTTTGTTGTATTTAATCTACATTTTTCACTCAATTTGCTGATATCCTTATAAAAAGAAGTGATTTTTAATTTCTTGTTTGTTTTCTTTTTCAAACTTCATAGCATCCTACTTTGAGTGTGGAACCTGTGATTCATCCTATAGAACTTTTGAGGGATGGAAGCTCATACGACTCATTCAATTTCAGGTGCTTCCCATGTCCCAAATCTTCATCCGGAACAGTTTTGTCACCATGGCTTTGTGATGGGTAAAGCATCAGAGGCAGGTTTCGGGAATGAAATGTACAAAATTTTAAGTGGTGCAGCATTGAGTACACTTTTAAACCGGTCCCTGCTCATTGGGCAAACCAGGCATATTGGTTCTTTCTCAAGCCTTTCTTTTCTTGTATTTCATAAATTCTTTTTCCCTGCGGTAACCTGAATTGTTTGAAAAAGTTGGTCTTTTGGCTTACCATTAAACCATATTATTATATGTTATATATTGCTTGTTTCTCATTATTAAAATATTTATTTATTTATTTATTTTTTTAAAAGGTTATATAGAGCTTCCCTTGAATGTTTATTGGAATGCCCCAGAAGCAGTGCTGTTATGGGAACCTATAATTTTATATCATTTTTCATGTGCCTTGGATCCATTCTTCGCAACTCATTCAATGGTTTACCTTAGCATTACCACATAATGGGGTCCAACACACGTTGACACAAGTAGGATCATCATAACTAAGTTGCAGCAATTCATGCTTTTTCTTGTGCTCACATCAATGTTGCTTATTTCAGGGGAAAATTCTCTTTCGGGGATTACATTTCTTATTCCAATGTTTCCTTTACCATGAGAGAAATTAAGCATCTGTGGAGACTTAATAGATGTGTTAAGAAGTAGGGAAGGCAACTGATTATGAGGACTGATGACTTTAAGAAGCCCACACAGACAAATGTCCTTTGTAATGACTGGAAGAAATGGAAGCAACCTATCATATGGTAAAGTGAGACAAATTTTAGATAACTCATCATCAGATATCATCATTCAATGGTTTACCTTAGCATTACCACATAATGGGGTCCAACACACATTGACACAAGTAGGATCATCATAACTAAGTTGCAGCAATTCATGCTTTTTCTTGTGCTCACATCAATGTTGCTTGTGTCAGGGGAAAATTCCCTATCGGGGATTATATTTCTTATTCCAACGTTTCCTTTACCATGAGAGAAATTAAGCATCTGTGGAGACTTAATAAATGTGTTAAGAAAGTAGGGAAGGCAACTGATTATGAGGACTGATGGCTTTGAGAAGCCGACACAGAAAAATGTCCTTTGTAGTGACTGGAGGAAATGGACGCAACCTATCTTAAGGTAAAGTGAGACAAATTTTAGATAACTAATCATCAGATATCATCACATGATCATTAACATTAATACTGCAGGTTCCAAGGTACAAATGATGCTGTGGCAGCCCAATTTTTCTTGAAAAATATACACCCCGAGATGAGGAATGCTGCTTCTATTTTTTTTATTTGGAAAGCCAGAGGTTCTCCATTTTCGGCCCAATGTATTTGGGGAGATGATGAGAGTGCATACAACTCCTTCTGAGGATGTTGAGGATGCCATCAATTGGGTTCTTAGTGGAGTGGAACCTGATATTTCACTGCACATGCGAATGCTCATGAATAAGTAATGCAACCCCCCATTTATTTCATTTCTTGATTAGGTTAAATTTTGAATTCAGAAATAGGTTAAATATTCATTGTGATGTGTTATTATCCTTAAACTTCCCCTGTTAGTTGATACCACACCAATTGTAATGTGCACACATGCATCAGAAAGCTTTCACAAACTCTCGACACTCCTTTGAGTTTAATCAATGACGCAGGTTTTTGCCTCGTGTTTTCCAGGTCTATCAGAGCTGCACAGGCAGCATTGAACTGCATCAGAAAAGCTAAGCAAAATCTTGGCAAATCACCAAGACCCAGGGTAGTCATAGTGTCAGATACTCCCTCTCTCGTGAAAAATATTAAACCAAATATAAATAAATTTGCAGAGGTAATATACTTTTACACTGGCATGTTACAAATTATACTGCATAATCAGCACTGTATATCACTCATGAAATTATGAATTTTATAATAAATACCACTTGTGTGCATCCCCTATTTGTGGCCGCACATTGTGTAACTCTATGTAACTTTGTTCTCGTTTAAATCTGTAGTCGGGAATGCAGCCTTAATTTCTTTCACCCAAACGAGTTAAATACTTTGCGAATCTCTTTTTTTAACAAATTGTTTAACAATTGAATTTTGTACTTCTGATTCTAATTGAATTGTGGTTTTCTTAGGTCATTCATTTTGATTATGAACTTTTCAAAGGAAATATATCTGATAGCAGAAAGGGAATGCACAGTTTATATTTTAGAATGAAAGATTGGGGCCCAGCGCCTAGATGGATTGCCTTTGTAGACTTTTTTCTTGCATCACGTGCAAAATATGCTGGTGCGTCCGCAGATCACAGGCGTGTTGGGACGACATATGCACAGTTAATTGCAGCACTGGCTGCAGCAAACAATCTTGGTACATACATGCATATAGTGTTTGGATCACTTCCTCTTACAAATGTTGCTCAAACCTCAAAGTGTTGTAATGTTCATTCTATTCTATCTTTCTCAGGCGACAAACCAACTGGTTCTAATTTTGCATTTTTAAGTAGCTTTCAAGGTGATTTGTTGAGAGAAGGTTTAAGATTTCAGATTGGTTGGGAGCATGTGTGGAACAGATTTTGCAGGTCCCCTTGCCCCCTTGGGTGTCATAACCAGCCTAATCAATGTGCTTTCACACAGCTTCTCCCTCCGGCATGGTGGGATGGCCTTTGGCAATCCCCCCTTCCAAGGGATATCAAGAAGTTGGCGGAGTACGGCATCCAGTTATCGAGGTTTGGCACAATTGATGAAAATTATCTTGACACTTTTTGTAGCACAAGGAAGGTTGTGGTGAAAACTGTTCCATTCCTTTTGTAATACTTGCGTTGCATTTCATTCATCCTATGTTTTGGCACGTCCTCCACTTTTTATACTTGTAACATTAGGCCACTCATTCACGTTGTATCGAACTCTTTATTTTTATTTTTGGGTTCTTCTGTTGTATCGCCATCAAATCAAAGTCAAGGCCGGTTGCCTTTTATATCTTAAATATTTCGAATTTTGTTTGTCGAAGTTTTGATCAACACACTCAAACAGAAATGAGCCAAACCCAAAAATGATTTAGATCTTAAACACTTGGAATATCTGCATACATAAAAAGAGGGAAGTATTTTCCATTAAACAAAGTGTATCGAGCGTACTAGAAATTTATTTATTTCGGTTGACATATAATAATGTCAAGGTATCCGGCATAAATGAATATAAATTATTAATTCCAAAATAGATTATATACTATTAATAATTTGTTATTCTATTTTAGGAGAACTATTAATTATTATTATTATTATTATTAGCAAGGAAGAAGAAAGGATAGAATATCAGAAGTAGGGAGAAGAAGAATGTCAAAGAAAAAGAAAGAAAGCAGAAGAAGTTTTTTTATGATTAGTTAAGAATAAGAATAAAAAACAAAAGGAATGACAACGTGTGAGTGGTGACGTCATATTAAAAACGACAGCATGGAGTTGGTTCGTCTCTGCCTGTAGATTCTCAAGGTTGCACAAGAAGTCATGGTTTGTGATCAAGTCAAGTTTAGTTTGGATAAAAGTGATGCATCTCCAACAATTTGATTTTTTGTTCTTTCCTTGGCCTTCAACCTCACCAGTTTAATTACAATTTGATTTTTGTTCTTTCCTTGTTTTTTTTTTAACGTAATTGATATTTATAAAAATAAAAAAAAATAGAGGGCCCTTCGGGCGCTAGGGATATGGTCTGGAGATGCATTTCAACCATATTCTTCTGTGCTTTTGTTCTGATATAAGGTCTCTGGCTGCAGGATGTTTTGAATGATAGGATCAGTCACTGCTTGAGCCATTTTGCTGGAGATGCAGAGGAGTGCTCTGTTTGTGTTGGAACAAACAAATGCCAGCTCCATTGATTCATGCAAGTGCACAGCAAACAGTACGGCGGAATTAAGGGCGCATTTCAGCTTGAAAATCAGGTGATTCTGTTACTTGGTTAAACCATAAAAAGCTTCGAAGCAAGCAATTGTTGTGGTTGAAATTTTGAGGGCATGGTATTTGCTTTGGAGGACAAGGGTTCATTCGTATAGCCGTGCGGCCATACTATTTTTATTATATTAAAAAATCCCAGTATAGCCGTGCGGCAATACTATATATATATATATATATAAAAAGAGGACTCGCCTGCGCCTTGCGCCCATTTCGCCATGTGTCAGAAATTGTATAGCCGCGCGGCTATACGATTTTTTAATATAAAACTGTAGTATAGCCGACCGGCTATACTATTTGTTTATAATTAAAAAACAGTGGTATAGCAGAGCGGCTATACGATTTATAAATTAAAAAATGGACCCCCGCCTGGCCCCTAGTGCCCGTTTCGCCACGTGTAAAAATAGTATAGCCGGTCGGCTAGACTTTTTTTTAAATAAAATATTCCCAGGTATAGCCGCGCGGCGATACGCTTTTTTAATAGAAAATATCCCGAGTATAGCCGTGCGGCGCTTCCCTTTTTATAAAAAAAACACCAAAAACAAAGAGAGGGCCTGTCTGGTGCTAGGGATATGGTCTGGAGAACCTGATTCGAGGGAGGTCTTTGTAGAGAAGAGTTAAGGACGAACCATGCAGAGGATCGCTTCCATCGTTAGCTGAAGCCGCGATACTATCGTCTTGATACACCACAACATCCATAGACTGAGAAGGAGAAACTGGTGATGATCTTCTGCTACCAAGTTTTAGTGAAAAAGACAGGTTTTAAAATTCCTGCGCCTTCCGATTGGATATCATTGTATAATTTTATGCTGCTTTGGTATTTGGTTGCTCTCCCCAAGTCTTGCTTTAAGGTTCTGTGACATATGTCCTAAATTTTCCTCCATCTTTGTTGAATAGTTGGTTGTTTAAGAAATCAATATGGATATCCAGTTTTGTAATGTGAGTCATGATGGAGACAAGTTTTGTTGATCCATTTGATCAGATGTAGACAACTAAGACAAGTTTTGTTTATGTAAATACAAATACAACTGTTTTACATAAACAACATTGGATGTGAGTTAAGAACTTAGTTGAGCTTGGGTCTGAAACTCTGTTTAAAAGTTATACCAAAATGAAAAGCATTATCAGTAGTACTGATCCTCTTCTTCTGGAAAAACAAGCATGATTTTA